GATCTTCAGTATTATATGTCTCGGTGTGTTTTTAGTTGGGTTGAAGTTATTTGGAGTTCTGTATGTTTTGGTTACCTGAGTGTGAGATTTTTTTCTCCTATATGAGGAGTTTTCTCCTATTACTTCTGCTCATATTTTTTTATATAATTTGTATTGACGCCTTCTTTCTCATTGATGCCTATTAGTCTCATATTGTTCATTTTTGCATCATCTTGGAGGTGATGAATTATTTTTTCCTGCATCCTAGTTGTTTTTAAAAGATCTTTTCTCACCTTTTCACTAGCTGTCCCAGTGTTTTCAAGATCTGAAACTCTATCATGACTTCTACTCAAATGATTTTGCAAGCTTGTCATTGAGATTTTAGGTTCCTCCATATCTGTTTGGCTCTGCTTCATATGATCTATTTCTTTTCTGCATTGCTCATTGAAAGAATCTGTCATTTTTCTAATCTCTATTTTTTTTATCAGTGTCTTCTTGATAAGCAGTTATTAATTGTTTTACTACAGAGAGTGTTTCTGATCTGATTTCCTCTATATGTTTCTGCATTTGATTCTGTACTTCAGACACTATTAATTCAGCAGTTTCTTTTTTTATTTCAGATGTTATTTCTGATCTGAGTTCCTCTGTACCTTTCTGCAGTTGTTTTTTTATTTCATAGGCTATTGTTTCAGACATTCCAGCTGTGTGATTACCAATTTCTTCTGTGCGAGTGTCCTCTGCACTTTTTCTGGGTGGGTTTGGGGCCTGCACTTGCATTTCTCTCCTTCTCTTTGTCATTTTGTATAGCACTGTCCTCTTTTCTTTGGTATAGAGCTTTGGTGCCATTATAACCTTAGCACCTGGTGAAATTTGGGTGCTGATCTACTACGATTGAGTTCATCCAATTGTGCCTGGCTTAGGTCTGGCTGCTGTGCTGAGTTCCTTCCTGCTGCAGTCCTTGGAAGTGAACCTATTGTGCCCCTCTGGCAAGATTTTCTGCTTCTGAATTAGTTGGGTGGTTCTGGTCCCTAGTCTTTCTGTAGGGACTTCAGCTGCAGAATTTCACTCCAGCCCTGTATGCCAGGTCTGGGCTGTGTCTGAAGCGGTCCAGGAGGATCAGGGGCGTGCAGGAGCTCTCCTACATACTTGCTGGGCCTGAGGTTGGGTTGGATGTGAGTGGTACAGTGTTCCCGAGAGTACTGTGGGAACGGTACCGAAAATGTAGTGGAAGGTCTCACTCATGGGTCTGGCCTCGCTGGATCTGGGGAGATCCATCCAGTGCAGGGCATTGTGGGAGCTCTCCCACACACACTTGCTGGGCCTGAGTTTGGACTAAGTGGGAGGGCTTCCATTTTTTAAAAAACCAGAAAGACCTAGAATAAGAAAAGCAGTTCTAGACATCAAAGACAAAGCATGGAACATCACAATCCATGACTTGAAACTATATTTCAGAGATAGTGTGATAAAAATAGCATGGTAACAATTCAATATACCAATAAAAAATTGGCATCTGAGATGAATATACATTTCACAGTGTAAGAAATACAAATGGCAAGTAAATATATGATAAAATGTTCAACATCTTTGGTCATTTGAGAAATTCAAAATAAAACAATACTGAGATTCTATCTTATCCCCAAAAGAATGGCTATCAACAAGAAGTCAGCCAAAAACCTTCTCTACTGTTGGTGGGAGTGCAGACTGGTGCAGCCACTCTAGAAAGCAGTGTGGAGATGTCTCAAAAAACTAGGATTGGAATCCTATTCAACCCAGCTATTGCCCTCCTAGATATTTTTTTTCCCAAAGGAACTAAAATCATACCACAGCTATTAATATTCACCATTGTTTATAGCCACGCAATTTGTCATAGCTAAATCCTGGAAGCAACCTAAAGGCCCATCATTTGAGAAATTGATAAAGAAGATATTGTAGTTTTACACAATGGAATATTATTCAGCTACAAAAAGGATAAATTTGAGGCTTTTAATGGTAAATGGACACAACTAGAGATCATACTCTTAAGTGAAAGAAGTCAAGCCCGCATGTGCAAACATCATATTGTCTCTTTAGTGTGAGAACCTGAAAGAGAAAATAAAATCTGTGAGACGGCAATTGAGACTGGATGTGGTGGCGTGTGCTTGTAATTCCAGTGTGTGGGAGGCTGAAAATAGGTGGATCATGAGTCTGATCTGTGTAGTGAGACCCTGTAGTCCCTGTATTAATACATAAAAAAGAAAGGAGTTACTGAGTTGAGAAGGGCAAGAGAGGGAATGGGGGAAAGAGATATATCTATGTATGTAAGCAGAATTGTTTGTACAACCATATTGTAAATCTCTGCTGGTTGTTGGAAAGGATCATTTAATCCTTCATTTATTTTACTTCTTTTTTTCTTTATCTTTCATTTTTTTCTTTTCTTACTTTATCATACATATTTTCTTTCAATTTTTCATGCATATGTCTGGTAATATAAACAACTTATTGGAAGACAACACTATGCCATATAACAAATACTGTGAAATTAATAATACTTTGTTTAGTGAAATTCTGTATCATTTGTAATTTTTCTATTTTTTACTCTCTTAAAAAGAAAACCCAGCATGGTACTGGCAAACAGACCTAAGGATCAGTGCAGTAGCTTAGAAGACAGAGAAATAATTCAAACACAGTAAAGGAGCCAAGCACAGTTAATGGAAGAAAAATAACTTCTTTTATAAATAGTGCTGTAAGAACTGGCTTTCACATGCTCAAGACTAAAACTAGACCTATCTCTAGCCCCATGCATTAAAATAAAATCAGAATGGATCAAAGATCTAAATATTAAAATAGAAAGACTAAATCTGCTGGAAGAGAGAATAAGTAGAACTCTTGAAGCTCTAGGAGTTAGCAAAGAGTGTGTGAACAAAACTCCAATTGCACAAGAAATATTACAAAGAATCAAAAACTGGGATGTCATTAAAATGCATCTGCACAACAAAAGAAATCACCAACTGAGTAAAGAGACAACCTGCTGACTAGGAAATAATTTTTTGCCAGCTCTTTCTAAGATAAAAGACTATTATCTTTATTATATAAAGAATTGAGAAGAATCCCTCAAACTTAAAGACCCAGTCCAAATATGGGCATCTTAGATGAATATACATTTCTCAGATAAAGAAGTACCATTGGTAAATGTACATATCAAAAAATTTTCAATATCACTGTTCATTTGAGAGATGCAAATTAAAACAATGCTGAGATTCTATCTCACTGCAGAAAGAATGGCTAGTATCAATAAATCAACCAATAACCAATACTGGCAGGGCTGTGGTATCTTGGTATCTTCCCAAAAAGTATTAAAAACATCATAACAGCAATCTGTGCACATCCATTGTTATGGTTTGTGTCTAGATGTCCCCTAAGGTCTCACGTGGTCATAGGACTTTTTCATTGGTGCCTGAATGTAGAGTGTGTGATGCTGTGATTAGGGGCATGCTATTAATACATCAGTCTTCTAGTTGGTTTTGCATAGATTGCAGGTGTGATTACTACACCCCCCCCGGGCAAGTAGCCTTCATATAATATAAGGGACAAAAGAATTATTTCCCCCACTTTTGTTGCTTTTGCTGTCTTCCACTGCCATGTACCACCCTGCCTTGGAGCCAGTTGATTTTGGACTGAAACCTGGACAAACTGAGCTAAATAAACCTTTCCCCATTTAACTTTCAGTGTCAGGTATTTTGTCTCAGCAGTGAGGAAAGTAATTAAGACACCCATATTCATAGCAGCATCATTTGCAATAGCTAAATATTGGAGACAGCCCAAATCCCTATCAACCAATGAATGAATAAAGAAGATGTGTGTGTGTGTGTGTGTGTGTGTGTGTGTGTGTATGTGTGTGTGTGGTGTAAAGAAGGATAAAACTGAGACATTTCTAGGTAACTGGATGTACCTTGAGACCATGTTATTCAGTGAAATAAATTGGACACACATATTTAAATATTGCATTGTTTCTCTGGTGTGAGAAAACGAAAAGATCAATAAGGACCAAAATATATAATACATATTGAAAAATAAGAAGAAAACATTAAAATTTAAAGGGCCAGAAACAAGGGGGTAGAGGGAAAGGAAGGGAGAGAAAAGAAAAAATGAGAAAAAAAGATAAAATGTAAACAAGTTTTGTAGGTAAGAAAGGGGAGAGGTGTAGGAGGAAGTGGACAGTTACAGGGAAAAATGAGAATTGGGGCATATCTTGTGCGGGTAAAGCTTTATATGCTCAGTGTGATCGTATAGTACCTTCACTGTACCCATGAGCAGTTGCGATTCTATGATGTTAACTGCATTCTAAATGTCGGGCGATGATCGCCACTTTGTAGCTCTAGGACAGTTTCATCCTCCCAACAGAAACCGTCATGCTTCTGTGTCCTTGCCCTTCCAGTCAGGCTTGCCTTCGTACATTGTGTGTAAACAGAGTAAGATAATTTATGGTCTCTTTGCCCGGCTTCTTGCACATAAAATTTCCAAGCTTCATCTGTGTTGTAACATCAATACTTCATTCCTTTTTATGGCTGAGTAATATTCCTATACAAGCTTTTTCCCCCCTCCACACAGTTTTATAAAAATCTCATTCTATGTGTTAGACAATTTTTCCTGTAACAGGCAAGTAGTAACTATTTCAGGTGTTGTGGGCTACATAGTCCCTGTTGTAGCTAGTGAATCCTCGGTGTGGCATAGAAGCTGCTGTGGTGATATGTGGACTGTTGGGTACAGCTATCTCCAAGAACACTGTATTTTTTTGTTTGGCGAATGCTGTTCTGGATCTGCACTAAACATACTCCACTTGATTTTTGAGGGAAGGAGTAGCCAAAGTGCTGAGCCATTGGTGGCGGGTGCACTGCTCTTTCTTGAAGTTGTATTAAACACTCCTGGCCTATTCTCCCAGTACAGCTTTGCCAGTGTGGGTTTCCATGCTTCTGGCTCCTGGGCTTGAACATTCTTGTGGCTGCTTCCCAGTCCAGGCCTATGTCCCCTCTTTTCAATCCTAGCTGGTTACTCCAGGACCCCAAAATGAAGCTGCGGACAACTTACAGGGGCTTCCAGAAAGCAGTGAATCGCTACTTTGACCAGCTGATTCCCAGGATCGCACTCCTGCAGGTAAAAGCCCATCTCTGTGATGCAGGAGTCAGGGCCTGACCTAGTTTCTGTGGTGCGCTTGCCGCTGCTCTGGGCTCAGGAGCAGCAAGCACATGTGCCAGCACGTGAGCAACAGCCAGTGCTGTTGCCTTGTCTAAAGCCAGCGGCCTTTAACCACTCGGATTTTATGCTTTTCCTCTACTAGCTGTCCAAGGAGCCTGCCCTACACTCTGATTTGTCTTTTTCCTGGCGGTATGCTTAGGCTCACCCTCTTTGTATGTTTGTTTTGTCCTGAATATAATTTATTTTTTCTCTGCATCTACACAAATGGGAAATTCATGAAAATAAAAGGTACTCACTCCTTAAGGATAGCTATATATCAGCCTTTTACAAATAATAGTTTATACAAGTGACCTTAAGTCACTGATTTTGGAGAAATTGCATTTTATTTGATTTTTAATATCTCCTGGCTATAAAACCATGGAGTCACACGTACTCATTGTTTACAGCAAAAGCATATGGCATTATAGTTCAGAAATGGTTGAAAACCCTGAAAAGGACTATCTAGATGTTGTACAACTTACGATAATTCAACTTCAGGTGTTTTGACCTTACAGTGTTGTGCCAGCTATATGCTTTCAGTGGAAACCATTTTTTATTTTTTGTTTTTGCATTTTTAAAAAAATTATCTTATTTTAAGGAGTATAAATAAAAACAAAAGCATAAACATATAGCAAAAACAAAGACAGAAACAGAATAACATACAACAATATATATGGTATAAATTTTCAAAACAAGAATAGCAAATTAACAATGGTTGTTATTATGTATTTTTACCATCAAATCTGTTACTCAGATTAACAGATATGGTCTGCAAGATTGGACAAATACTTGAACATTAACACTTGCTTTCAGTAAACCTTAATTTTTTTCTGTCCTTTTTACTTTTTATTTTTAAAGTTTATTTTAAAGAGAAATAATCAGTAGTGATAAGACATCAGAAATGGTACACATTTAGAAGAACAAGATGAGAGGTATTCAACCATGGGAAACCACACTTTTTTATCTTTGATCTTTTTGTAAGCTAATGACATGTGTACAATTCTGTCTCTTGATTTAGGCAGCTGTAGCAGTCCTGCAGCTACCTTCAGCCACAAGACCTAAATTATTATAGATTGAATGGAGGCAGTGACAAGGCTGGTACATGGCCAGAAGAATGCTTTATGTGGTGTGAATACACTAGGACTAGTATAGGACATATGATATACGGGTGATAGATGGGCCTCCAAGCCATGTAAGGGAAATGTGTAACTCCCAACTTTGGTAGATGTCCGATATGCCAAGCTCATGTTCTCTAAAATTGAGGCATGATTTCTAGGGACAAGAGAGGTTAAGAGCAGGAAGAATTTGTTGACAGAAAGCATCTTTCTAAGAGAGCAAGGAAAGTGGCTTGCCTACTGACCCACTTCTCAAGGATGTTTTGTTGAGGAAAGCCACAAATTGAGGTGAGTTCAAGGTGGGACAAAACTATAGCCAATTAATAAGATTACAAATATAATGCTTAGGTAATATTGATCCAATGAGGAAGCACAAGGGAGTGTGTGGTGGGACAAAACTATGGTGAATCAGTATGATTATAACAAGTATAGTTGCTTAAATGGGGATCAAATGGGGAAACAAGTCGTGTAGCAAGCTTACATGGCCTGAGCAAGGATTTCCTGGGAAGGAACAGGCTAGGGAGGCTTTGGTCCCCCACCACAGGTGACTGATGACTTTCATTCCTAGGGAAAGTGTGGAGGAGCCAGGGAGATGGCTCAGTGGAATAAGCGCTTCCCTGGCAAGCGCAACAGCCTGAGTTCAATCTCCATTCCACCAAAAAAAAAAAAAA